TTGTTTTCATGTGTTTTTTTTTCTTACAATTTTTTAAATCCCTAAATCAGAAATTTATTTTATAATAATTTTATATTGCTAAATTACGAAAATGCTTGCATAAAAGTTGCACGAATAAGATATATATTTTGTCTGTTGCTATTTATCTATATTTTGTCTATTTCTCAGAATAGCATTATCAATGTTTAAAATTTGCGAAATCGAAGTTTAAATAAATGATATTTTGCATATGAAAAGCTACAAATTAAAAATTAAATTTAATATTTCTTAGCTTCAATATTAAATTATAGAATTGAAGAAATGTTTACATGAATACAAACTTGTGTATACATATGTGTGTCTGTGTGTATGCGTGTGTGCGTGTGTGTGTACGTGTGTGTATGTGTGTCTGTGTGTGTGTGTGCATGTGCACGTGTTATAATCTGTATTCGCGTGTGTGTGTGTGTGTGTGTGTGTGTGTGTGTGTGTGTGTGTGTGTGTGTGTGTGTGTGTTTGTATTTTTATATAAAAAAATATTGTACAATTTTTGTAAATATAAAAATGTGATTATTTTTGATTGTTATCAAATTATCATCAATGATAAGTAACATTTATTATAATACATTTATTATCTCAGGAGAATAACAGCAGCAACAATAGCAATACACATGTAGAATTGAATTCATCAGCAAATTCGATGAAATCAATTTTGAAAAAGCGTGATGTACAAAATGGTACATCATCACCGATGATAAATCGTAGTATATCTAATTCCATCGAGGTTTACTTTTTCATTTTTTGAAAAAAAAAAATGTTTCATTAAAATTAGCTAATTATTATAAGAAAAAAAAATTTGAAAATAAAAAGTTCATTAAAATGTACACACAAGAAAAAATCTTCTATTTAATTATGTAAATTTTGTAAAAAATTATTTTAAACAAAGTAATTTTTATTTAATTACATTTTTAATAAAAATTTAACTTTTTTTTTGGTGCTCTAGAAATGAATAATAATTGAAATTGAATTCAATACGCAATACTAATTGAGGCAGAATTCAATGCTTATTATTATCAGAAGTATTTGCAAGTTTGCAAGTGCAATTATTTGCATGCACCAAAATTAGCAATTATAATATGCAATACATTGAATGTATTTGATATTGACCTTAAGCTTAGTATTAGCGAATAAATTTTATAAATTAAAATTATAAAATTTTTGCTTCAAATTTATCCATAATTGAATGCAAATTGATTTTAAGGACTGGTCATTAGCTCCATCATCAAATCGAGCGGCAACACCAGCATTTCCGGTACGTCGAGAAACACCATTACCATTTCATCCACTTCTATTTGAGGGTGCAAAAGATATTATGCCACCGATGCAACCAATCAACAATATCACTTACAGGTTGTCATTATCACTGATATACTGAGTCTATCTGATTAACCGTAGGAATAACAAATATTTACAATGCGTACAATAATTATGAGAAATGATAGACATCATCATAATTCGTATCATTAAATATTTAATTCCTTTCCTTATTTT